TATATATATATATGAAATATATATGCATATGATATATGAAGGAGAGTTACATAGCTAAAGAAGCAAAAGAGCTACCTCTTGGACATAATGTTCTTCATCTATCCCACAGCAAATGGCACCTTCTTTCCCCTGGCATTAAGTAGGAGCAAAGTTGGAGCATGTGAGCTCACACCTGAGATGTCCCACAGCAGGATCACTGTTTGAAGCCCTGACTGTGGTGCACATGTCAGTTCATTAAGAACAAAACAGACCCAATGCCATCACAAGTGCAATATAAGGTATGAAGGTATGATGGGAGGAAAAACTCCCCTTTTCTAGAGCACCAGCCATGGGTAAGGCATATGTGTGTGTGTGTGTGTGTGTGTGTGTGTGTGGAGGGGAGGGGAGAGGAGAGGGGAGAAGAGGAGACTGCCAAAAAGTGTATGCACACTCCATGAAAAGAAAAACTTATATAAGTATTTCAATACTAAATTTATTGGGAATCATCATTATCCATGTAAGTTTGTTCACTATCTATACTGAGTATCCTGTGGATAAAATTCTAGGAATTTTCAACAACTTTTACACTTACAAAAAAAATATTCTCTGGTCATTTTGGTATAAAAAACCACTCATTTTAGTAACAAATATACAGGTCCTTAGTGATGGTAAAAACTCAAAATATCTATTCAAACTTATACCTTCTCTGTCTACTTTGTAACTCAGCAATTCTAATCCCAGGTATATTCCTAAAAAACAAATAAGAGCATATTTTCAACAGATACATGTATCACAATGTGCATAAAGATGTATCCAAAGTATCCTCGAACAGGATATAAATAAAATGCCAGGCAATAACAGAATGGATCATTATCCCTATGATAGAATATTCATGCAACAGAATACTAGACACAAAAAACAAAATGTAAACTGATCCTACAAACAACTATAAAGATGTCTATTTGAAAAACAAGCTGGACACAAAAGAGTATGTAAGAGACCAATTAAAAGAAGCTACCTTTTAAAATATATTTTATTAGTAACCCCTATATATTTGACATATACATGAAATATAAAGACTACTACTGAAGAAAACAAATGTATGCCCACTAGAAAGAGAATTTTAGCAATGTCTTTGGGACTCCATACACACACTTCCCCAATTATATCATCCTGTCTCCTTCCTGGATAGCCTGTGCACATGCATGGACGTGCATGCACACACACACGCACACACGCACACACACACAAATGCATAAATACACAAAGACATATCAAAATTTCAGTGATATAATTTCCTTGCTTTTCTAGACGATATTTATTATATTTATGTGATGTAGGTATTAATACCTTAAAACATAATACCAACACAGAACAGTGAAAAGACACTAAATAATCATATCTATGTGGTTAACCAAAGAGAATCCAATTGAATAAAAACCACTCACACAGAGAATGAAACATTACCAAACTTCCAGAATAGTAAGGATGGCAACTAGCTTTTACTCCTTCCCATTACTAAACCTTCTCCTTTCCCTGTAGTCAACTACTACCCTGAATCCTAACACTTTAGACTGATTTTGTGTGTTATAAAGAAAGGAATACCAACAAGTCCATAATTATTTCTATTTTAACCGTAATACCAAGATGGAGTGGGAAAAGAAAACCTCATTGTAGAAATGCTAATGATATTATCATCCTTTTTGTGAACATATCAGTAGCTATCACTGCTTTACCAGACAGAGCATAACTTGTCTATCTAGGGTTTTCCCTCTAAATAAACTAGGAAAGGCACTTTAGAAATGGTGTGTGAGGAGCTGTGAGGGTGGATACCAGCCCCTATGAAACAATAATTTAAGTAGTGAATATTAAATTAGAAACACTTAAAATCTCTGGAAATTTAAAGGCATACAGAAAATGAGAAAACATTCAATGAAATCTGCTAAATCTTGGATAAAAAGCAAGTCTATGACATTTTGGCTATGATTTATCTGTTCTCATGCACTCTGTTCTTAGAGCTGTGTTACAGAATCTCCATGGCAGCAAAGTGTGGCAAAAGATAATAACTCTATCTCCTCCCAGCAACCAGGACAGGCTGCTTATTTCATTCACTAACTCCCCTAAAAGCTTCCTATTAAAGAAGCTCTATTCCACGCAAACACAGTAAAGGTGACTGAGGTACATTTCCCTCAACCAATCCCCACCGGTGGGGCAAGGGCTCCACCTCAGTAGCAAATGATTTTTAATACTGAGCCCTGGTGATTTCCTTCCCCATCTGGCTTATTGGGCAAAAGTTGAGAGATAGGAAAGAAGATCAACAACAGGTGCTACTATCTTTCCCTATGAGTAACCACTCATACAGAAGTATCACTCTGTGAGATGTGGCCCCTGACCTAGCAGTGGTGAGGTTTTACATACAAAAAAACATGAAAAATGTAACTACTGCCATTCTACATCTCTGCCTGAGTATAGTGGCTTTGTGACAGAACCTGAAGATTTTACATCTAAAGGCTTCAAAAATAATGGAGATATTGGTGGTGAGCTATTAAAAAAGGACCGGTAGCTCCACAGTAGCAGTAGCAACAAGTGAGATGGCAGAGTACCAAGAAATTTAACAAAGAGAACCAGAGAAAAAAATAGCCAAAAAGGATCACACTTTGGGATCACACTTATTTCTGGGGGTCTGGAAGGCTGTCTGTGTTGACCAGGTTGCATCCACTTAAGAATTACTAGGATAGATATAAATATTAAGACAGAAACAGTAAAATTGCTGGAAGATAAGTTCGGTAGAACTCTTGAAGACATTGGCATAGGAAAAGACTTCATGAACAAAACCTCAGCAGCACGGGAACTAGCA